TTAAAAGTTGCCTTATTGTGGAGTGGGAATCTGAAATACCCAAATGCCTGTTTTCCTCAGTGGGGTCAACTTGAAGAGCTCCCACCTTCTCTGGATGTGCCTGGGCTGGATTGGTTAGAATCTGTCTCTTGACTGAGTTGCATGTACAGCACCTCCTGCCTATAGGCAAGAGAGTCCGGAGCGGTTCAGATCAGAGCCGTGCCCAAAGTTTCTCCGCTGTCGCATCATTCGAAGCTGACGTCCTGTGTCCATACCCTGCTGCCGCGTCGTGTCCTCGCTCTGCGTGCTGTCCTCTCGCCAGGCTCCGTCCTGCCGTGACACCCGTCATCCTGCCTTTGGAACCCCAAGGCCAAGTTTGCTTCAGATTGCGGGAGGACAGCACTGGCCTGGATCTGGGACACACTTGTCCTCAGCCCGACCGTCTTCCCCCACCTCAGCGGGGAAAGGTGAACACACGGCAGCTGAGGCCTGGAAACATTTCTCGCGTTCCTTGATCAAGCTCTGAGACCTCCAGGAGGCTTTGTCTCTTAAAAGGTGGAGAGAGATGCTGTTCTCCTCCCGTGGGCCGGGTGGGTTTCCCCATCTTGCGTCACCCCTCTGCGAGCCATCTCTGCCCACCTTCCAGTTGACCCTGCCTGGGAACAGGTGATGAGGAGGCCATGAGGGTATGGGGAATCCTGCCAGTGGGAGAAGCCCCACGGCAGAAAGGTATATGTGGACATAGAGTATACCTGTCTTCACTTCTCCAGCCACTGACTGCTTGTCTTGGGCTGCGGATGATTAGTGGAATGGCTGGTCTCCTGGCAGCCAAAGCTAGGGACAGTGACCCGTGACTGACCTTCACAGACTGGGCTGGGGGCTGGGTGCGGGCGTGATGGCACACTCACCCCAGGGTGGTGCTCATGTGCTCATTCTCAGCCCTTTTCAACTGCTTCCTCTGTTGGGCCCTAAATTTGGGAGTAGGGGCCAGTATCTCAGGCTGGCAAGGCCTTGTCTTCTGTCTTGGGCACCTCATTGCTGTGCCACCCCCTCCTGCCTCCAGTCTCTACCCTCCCAGTATGGGGAAGCCCATCTCCATTCCTGTGAGCCGGTTGTCTGGAAAGCCGAGATGAGTGTCTGGTCTGTGCTCCGACAGTGGAATCTGAGGCCTCTCCCGGTGCCTGCCCCGTGCTGCACCACACATGGGACACCCGGACCTCCGCCTCCCCTAATCACCCCTGTTCTTCAGGTTGCTCGGCCCTGTACTGTTTGCAGCACCACAGTAACCTCAGTGTTTGTCCTCTGCTGGGTTTGGGGTCACAGGAAGCCTGGAGGGTGTGGGGAAGGGCTGTTCTCTAGAGTTTACTCCTAGGCCCGGGGGCTGCCATCCCCTCCCTGACCCTCCCCACAAACACCCCAGAAAGAAGCCCCTTTGGGGTGGGGAGGTGAGGACTTCATCTCAATACAGGCTGGGGATGGGGAGGGGGGCTTTTTTTCTTCCTTTTTTTTCTTTTTTTTTTTTGTGTGTGTGACATGTTTGGAGTTAATGTTGCAAAGAGTAGTTTACATCTTCACTTTCTGAAGACACTTGAATCTAGGACCGATGTATCTGTGACAAGCATGCCAGGAGTGGCAAAGGACATCAGGGCTTGCCACTTCACACCTACCATCCTTTATGGGGATCCGAGATCTGAGACAGAAGCAACAGCCTGCCCCAATCCTTCCGTTCATCCTGTACCTTTCCGAGATGGGTCCACACCAACATGACCTTTGGGCCTCAAACATCAGAAGGTCTGTGTACCTCAGCTCTGCTCAGAGGCAGGTTTCTCCCGCTGTCTCCTGAACCTGGGAGGAAAGGCACTCCGGGTAGAGAGGGGTTGCCCGACGCCGCAGCAGCCTGGACCCCTGGGGCTCAGATCCCGGCAGGGAGCCCCCATGTCAAAATTGTTATGTTTTTGTTCTGTTCTATTGTAGTTCTTCTCTCCCCTTTCCTGGTGATTGATTTTACAAAAGAAAGCTGCTCAGAAAGCCCTGGCAGTGGGAGGAGGGGCAAAGAAGACTAGTTAGGGAGGGTGGGCTGGTTTTTTTGCCAAAAGCCTGGGTAGAGTGGTCTGGATCATCTGGCACCCTCCCGAATGGGACCCCAAAGTATCTCGTGTGGGAGGGTCCCAGGATTTGCCCCAGCCCCACCCTCTCCTTCAGCCACATTGATGGCAGAGGCAGAGAAGATCAGAACATACAGCCCATTCTGACTGGAGAGGAAAACTTGTCATCTGGCTTTGCGGAGAAGGTTCCACCTTATGCTCATAGTACATTATCTTTACCATGTGCTAGGATATCACATTTACAAGGAAAAAAAATGTAAAATACTTGAATGAGCTTGTATTATAACATTAATATTATTGAGAGTATCTGCTTTCCAGGCTGAAGTGATTCATTCATTATTCTAGTCCTGCTTTAGTCGTTTGTAATTTGTGGTAATTATGCTTTTCTTTTTAATACAAAAAAAAATGTATAAAAATAAAAACTTGAAAAGGCAAAAAAAAAAGAAGCCTGGCTGGTCTCCCATGAAGGGGTACAGCTATTGGGTGTGTTGGGTGGAGGCTGGTTCATGATCTGACCTCAAATCCGTGGGAACCTGCCCTCGCATATGCATATGGAATCTCTCCAGGGCGGGGTCTCCTGACTGTGTCTGAGGCTCCTGGAGCGTTCAGGTGTTTCCTCAGGGGTCTGGAGAACTTCTGCGTGTCTTGAGCTCATGTCTCTGTCTTGTGTCTGAGGGCGGGGGAGCTACAGCCAGTGCCACAGACCAGAGCACTCCCCAGTCTAGTAGCTGGAATTCCAGGATTTCATGCACTTGGCTGTGGCTTGGCATTGTATCAGGACGCTGCCAGGAAGATAGAAGTTGCTGTGGTTCCTCACTGAGCACACTTCCCTATGGACTGGAGAGGAGGAGCAGCGCTCTGGCCCAACAGAATCCAGATGAGCCCTGGATTTACGCCTGGGAAGGAAGGATGAGCACCCCCACCACGACTTGTCCCCAGGCTGCTGATGGCTTTTGTCTGACCCATGAGGCCGGGCACCAACCAGCAGTAGTGACCGAATGCCAGTCTGACTGCAGTGTGTACTGACAAAACTAAATCTGTGCCTTACTCACTGAGAGCTGTTAGGTGTCCTGGGCCTGGCATGTCAGCATCCCTTCAGAAATGGTTTTCCAGCCAGTTCCCCTTGTGTCAGGAGAGCAGGGACTTTAATACCACCGACGGCCTGCAGGGGGCAGAGGTGAGTCTAGGAGACACTAGCCAGGGCTTCTGCAGGCCTCCCTGGCCGAGGAACCTCCCTTCTGTCGCCTGCTGGGAACACTGAAAGGGGCTGGGAGGGCTGAGTGCTCCTTGTGCTGCTGTGACTCCTACATGTCACGAGGTCATGATGCCAGAACAACTCAGAACAGAAGTATCCACTACAGGTCAAAGGAGACCAGTTTATTTCTCATGCTTTCTCCTTTCACATTTTCTGGTGGGATGATTGAGACCAGCCTTTGCTGGAGCCTATTTGGTAACCAGTCTTAGGGCCAGCCCAACCACCTGCCCAAGAAACAGGGTGAGATGTGAGGCCCTTCATCCCTCTGTGGCTTGACACTACCTCCAGTCTATAGACCTAAAAGGGAGGAAGACCTCCATTCTTCCTTTTTCTACACACTCCTCACTCCAGACCCTCGCTAAGTTCACTGAAAATGGGCTGGTTTCCAGTTGTTTATTTGTAGGACGGGTTGTGGGTGTGGGCCAGCAGCTGTGAGCACGCACAGCACTGATGCTCCGGAAGCTGTATACCACCAACTAAGGGTGCCCGGTCCCAGGGTGGGGTTGGGGCTCACCCGGGCCCCAGGAGGATGCTGCCTGGTAAGTTCCTGGTTGGCCTCCTGGGCAGGTCCTCTGGGTCTGGCCCATTGGAAGAGGTCCTCTTTGATAGTCCTGCCTGGAGACGAGGCCTCAGACATGGAAGTATTTCATAAAACTACAGCGAGTGGTTTTCTGGAGAGAGGAGAACTGAAAGTTCAGAAAAATACTGGACTTTTGGGAACATAATGGTGGCCTTTCAAGTCAGAGTGATCTTCACCTTGACCTTGGGAGCCACAGGCTTCTTGGCAATGTTGGGGACAGCCCTGGGAACCCAGGGTGGGGGTGGCTTCCACCTGGGTAGCTCTGTGGTTTCATTGTAGACAGGTCTCATCAGAAAAGGCATCACTGCTAAAATTAGCCTGTGAAAAGGGTGCTGAAACAACTGGTTCATCATTTGGGTGGAAATGAGGATTTTATCCACTGTTCAGGTGTGTACTTGCTACTTTCTTACTGGAGGAAGAGGGTGCTAGCCCTTTTGGTCCTTTATACAGAAGATACTAGGGTACCTCAGTTGGGTGTCCTCCAAGGTCAGCACTCTGACCCTTCCCTCTGGTTACAAGGGCCCCAGCTGAGCAGGGCCACAGGCTTTGGCCTTTGAGTCTGTGAGTGGCTGAAGGTGTTGGGGTAACCTCTGCACCTCTTTATATTTCAATTATCCTGGGAGAAGCTACTGTGACTTATTTTTATTTTCAGAGGAGGGTGATGTCCAATTGCAGTGGGCTGAGTTGAATGGGGTGTTTGTATGTGTGTGTAATGGGAACTTGATCCCAGAACTGTTGCCAGGGTGTCCTAACCCTGTCCTGAATAAAGTATAAGAGGAGCGTTAGGGGACAGGAAGGGACAAAGCAGCATCTGGTTCCCTCGCCCCCTGGCACCAGGAGCAGCGATGGCTGCAGGCATAGCTCCCTGCCACCTTTGTCATTCTGTGTCCTGCCAGGGCCACCAAGCGATCATCTGGGATGCCTGTCCGCTTCCATTGGAGAGGACCAGTGGACTCCCCAGGAGCCCTCTCCAGTAGCTTCTTCCCTCTGGCTGGCCTACATTCCAGGAAGATGTATTTTTTCCTTTCTTCTGTGAATGCTTGGACCCATTGTGGATAACAGCAGTTGGGGGAGCCCTAGTCTCTGTGGCTCTGCTTTTCCAGGAAGCCGATCCCTGCTCTCGTGGGGTTGCCATCAGTGTGTGGCTGAAGGAGCAGGCTGTTAGATGTGAGTAGGCGTCCTCAGGCATAGCAGAGGATTGTCTGCTGAGGGGTAGCCAATGTGGAACTGTGGCTGTTTCTTAGTCCATCATCTTCAGGGGATCGGGGATGCTCAGAGAGTGGGGTGAAGCCCAGCAGGATCATGTGTCTCTTGTAGGCCTTGGCCTGCTTAAACACGGTGTCAGTCCCATGGCGATAGTCCAGCATCCCCAGGGCCCCATAGCACTGGGCGACCCTGGAGGGGAGAGGAGGGTGCTGAAGGCTGGTGTGCTCACGTCCATCTCACCTGTCCCCATCGTGCCCACCACCTGCTTCTGAGTCACCCGAGTGGATGTGCACAGATTGCTGGGCCCCTCCAGAGTGAAAATCAATGCTTTTCCTTTGAAAAGTTCTCTCTGATTTGATGCACACAAGTCAAAACCTGCAGCAGAGCCTGCTTGTTGAGGTAGGTTCTGGAATCCATCAGATTCCCCTGGAACACTTAGTAAATGCAGTTGCCAGGCCCTGTTCCCCCAGAGGCTTTGATTCTGGGTATCTGAAGTGGAACCCCAGAGCCTGCATTTGAAAAAAGCATCTCAGATGATTTCTGATGCAGGAGTGTCCTAGACCACAGTGCTGAGACTGAAGGCTTTCAGAAAGCACACAGCTCCCCTTGAATTGCCTGCAGGAATTACATGCGTTTTTTCTGGTAGTGCCCATAGCTTACGCTATATACGCAAAGGGTCCAGGTGTAAATGGAGCTTAAACAGTGGCAAGGAAGATTCAGTGTCAGAATCAAGATGGCAAGGTGATCTGGGTCCCAGGAAGGTGGTTATTATACTGACCCCAGACGCCTTTCCTCCACTATACCCACATCTACACTGAGACACCAGTGTCTGCTGTCAGGAGCTCCAGGATAAAGGTGAGTGTTAACTGCCCAGAGACCCAAAGTGGGGAGGGGCGCCTTACTTTTGATGGTGGTAGTCATGGAATTCAGGTGAAGGCAAGAAGGGTAGGTGGTAGCCACAGTGGGAGATCATGGTGAAGGTGAGGTCCAAGGAAACCCATGTGGTGATGGAGGACAAGGGGGAGCCCATTACTGTTGGACCCAGTATTGCCAGCATGTTGATCTGCAAGAAGAGAGCTGTCTGAAGGGGGGCCTGAGGGGAGGAAGGGAACCAAGGTGGATGTCCCCTTCCCCCAGAGTGGTACCAGGAAGACTTCCTGACTCAGATCTGGGGAAGATGAATGAATTTCTGGACCTTAATTTCCTGGAGTCCTTAAGCTTTCCTGGTGGCTCAGACCATAAAGAATCCACCTGCAAGGCAGGAGACCTAGGGTTGATCCCTGGGTTGGGAAGATCTCCTGGAGAAGGGAATTCTATGGACAGAAGAGCCTGGCAGGCTACAGTCCATGGGATCACAAAGAGCTGGACACAACTGAGCGAATTTCAGGTAACTTTCACTTTGAACTTGAAACCTAGGACAAGGTATTAACTGTTTGAACCTCAACTTCCTCATTATCAGAATGATTGTTTTTAAATGCTTGTTGGGAGAACTAAATGAGATAATTCACCTTAGGCATCTGGTTTTTCCTTGGATATGCCAGCATAAATGGTAGCTATGGAAGGGGCAGAAGAAAGAAACTCCCAGTGTGGTCCCATTTTGTGCAGGAGACCTTAGCTTAAGGAAGGGGATTGGGGCCCTCTGCCCTCTCCTCTGGGGAAGCCAAGCTCTACTCACCACATGCTCAATAGGGTGGACAGACAGGTTGCAACGATGGGTACTGTTCACTCATGGTGTTTCTTATGGATTTTCTTGTAGAGTTTTGGGTGGTGAAGGAGTCTAGAAAGATAGTTACCAGTTCATAATTTGCCAGCCTCCCTCTCCCCATCCCTGATCAGAACTTGAGAAAGCAAAGGTAAAAACTGGGTTTACATACAAGGAACAAAGTTGAAAACACACTGGATTGGCACCCAGACAGACCTGCCTTTGAGTTTTTGTGGTGCATAATTTGGGGAGGGTGACGTAGCCTGTCTTTGCCTCAGTTGTATGAGCTGCAAAGTGGATGATGGCCAGAAAGGATTCCATAGGGGAATGAATGGGAAACTGCCCTGCCACAGGCATAAATGGAGTTCCAGACACTTCTTTGGGAGTGTCGTCTTAAACACTCCCAAGTGGGTCATTTTGGGTTGTCAGCTATGGAGTACAGACTGGTCCTCCTGTAACCTAAGTAACAAGAAGCTTTCCAGGCCAAGTGGTGGTGTCCCATCCCTACAACTCCAAGGAGGCCCTGTTTCCTGGGTGACGGGTGTACCTGGAGAGTGAGGAGCTGGCTGTGCTCAGGAGGAGTGCGCTCCCCGGTGTGAGGAGTAGAATAGCACTTCCTCAATCAGCGTGATGGAGAAGGCAGTGGCACCCCACTCCATTACTCTTGCCTGGAAAATCCCATGGACAGAGGAGCCTGGTAGGCTGCCGTCCATGGAGTCGCTTAGAGTCGGACACGACTGAGCGACTTCACTCTCACTTACCACTTTCCTGCATTGGAGAAGGAAATGGCAACCCACTCCAGTGTTCTTGCCTGGAGAATCCCAGGGACGGGGGAGCCTGGTGGACTGCCGTCTATGGGGTCGCACAGAGCCAGACACGACTGAAGCGACTTGGCTTAATCAGCGTGAAGACGACCAGCTCCAGGAGGAACGAGTGGAAGGTGGGGCACTCTCGATGGCAGGGGCCTCCCCACAACTTGAGGATGGGGTAGAGTGAGACCAGCATGGGAAGAGAGATCACGAATTGATTGAAGAGAATCATGAGGATAGACTGGTGTAGTTTCATGGGGTCCACCTGTGGAGGGAAAGAAGGAACTGAGGAAGTGGACAAGAGTAGGTCTTTATCTTCTGGAAACCAGGCTCCCCTGTGGACTGTTCTCAGGAGGCTCTTGCTCTGGGCTGGGTGCTAGGAGTAATGTCTGGCTGGAGCTGGCAGCCCTCGAGTGCGGACCAGCTCAGGGGGAAGCCACCTGGTAGTGCCCTGCTTTTGGAAAGTTCCCTCCCCCAGCCTGAGTGTCTGAACTTGCCTGCTGCTTCCTCCTTCCCACCACTGTCCTCCCCGTTCCTCTGCCCAGGCCCAACCCCGTGTATTCACACAGGCACCTTGGGGAGTGTGGAGAAGGCTGTCAGCCTGAATCCTTCTTCAGCCTGAATCCTCCTTCAGCCTTTTGGCCCCTGGTTATCCAGGGAGGCTTGGCCAGGGTCAGGTGCAGAGATCAAGGTGATGTGCCTCCTCATGTGGTCTAGCCTTGCTTCACCAGGCCCAAGTGAAGAAGGATTTGAGTCAGAGAGCTGCAATCTGGCCTCTTGACCAACTTACGTAAGGGGGTCTTCCTGGTGTTCGGGGTGGTCGTCACCCTCGGTGACAGGATGTCACCCTTAGTGACCTCAGCTTAGGATGGGGGCCTGCCTGAGTGTTCCCCCAGATCACTGTGGAGAGCTGGCTCCACATGCTCACACCCCACTGGGCCTCAATGCTGCAGCCAACCTGTCCTTGGGGACCAGTCACCCCCTTTCCCTTCATGCAATCTAGTCTCACTGCATCAGGCCCCAGGGAAGAAGGACGTGAGCCAGGGAGCTACTGTCTGGCCTCTTGACCAACTTGTTCCAGGGAATACCCCCATGACCACATGTCACTTGCTGGTCCTAATGAACTGGTTTGGGGGTGTCAGAAAGGATTTCTTCCTGAGAAATTTCTGCAAGCTGGAGGTCAATGGCCCCAAGGCAAGGCCAGATTCCAAGTGGTCCTTATACTTCAGGCCTGGCTCTCTTTCTGGCTTCTCCAAGCACTGTGTGTATTGAGGGACCAGAATTCAGTCTCTAAACCTTCAGTTTCATCCCATGGCAAAGCCAAGTCTGGCCGGCCTCATTTCAGACTACCTATAGAGGAAGTAAAACACCTCTTCTGGCAACCTTGACCGAAAGGAGAGTGTGATGTATGATCATTCATTCATTCAAATGATATTTATTGAGTACTTTCTATGTTCCTGGCAGTGTTTTGTGTGCTGGGAAGAAAACAGCGAACAAAGCAAATTCCTGCCCACACTGAACTTATATGCTTACCATTTTAAATAGAATGATCAGGGTAAGCTTCCTCGATGGTGAGATCTGAACAAATGACGAAGAGGAAGCATTTATGGAAGGGGAGTGTGTTCGGGTAAAGGGGAGAGCTGGTAGAAGGCTCCAAGGCACACACTCCTGGTGTCATTGGCTGGAGAGGGGTGAGCAGTGGGGTGAGGAGTGTGGAGGGTGAGGTCAAGAGGTGGGGAGGAGCCACTGCGTAAGGGCCCCTGAAGTCGCACTGAGGACTTGGACTTTTATTCCGAGAGGATGATGTCATCCCAAGGTTGTGAGCAGAGAAGTGAGAGCAGGTACAGGCTTACCCTGGCTGCTATGGTGGGAATAGACAGTAGAAGACCAAGAACAGAAATGGGGACGCTAATTAGAATTGCAAAAATACACACAGGAGAGGCCGGTGGCTCAGACCAGGGAGGTGGAAATGGAGGTGGTGAGAAATGGTTGGATTCTGGAGGTTTCCTGATGGACTGGAGGTGGAGTGTAAGGGAAAGCGCATTCTCAAGGGTGACTCCAAGGCTTTGGGTCTGAGAAGCTGCCCACTGAGATGGGGGAGGCTGTTGGGAGCAAAGACTTTGGAGGGAGTAGAAGTTCAGAAATGGTCTGTAGATCATGTTGGATTGGAGATGTCTGTGAGGCAGGTGGATATTTGATCCTGGATCAGGAGAGAGCCTGGATTTGAGAGCTAAATGTGTGTGAGCTGTCAGAGTTTAGGTGCTATTTAAAATCATGACACAGGGCGCCTTGGCCTCGGCCCTGAGGTGGCCGAACGTGCCGCGGGGGGAGTCAGCGCTTGGAGGACCCAAGAATATCTAAAGCCACGGGGAAAATGGTGGAAAATTCACCGTCGCCATTGCCAGAAAGAGCGATTTATGGCTTTGTTCTTTTCTTAAGCTCCCAATTTGGTTTCATACTGTATCTTGTGTGGGCTTTTATTCCTGAATCTTGGCTAAACTCCTTAGGCTTAACTTACTGGCCTCAAAAGTATTGGGCCGTTGCTCTGCCTGTGTATCTCCTCATTACCATAGTCATCGGTTACATCCTCTTATTTGGAATAAACATGATGAGTACCTCTCCACTCGACTCCATTCATAATATCACAGATAACTATGCCAAAAATCAACAGCACAAGAAAGACCAAGAAGAGGCCATCCCAGCACTAAGAGATATTCCTATTAGTGAAGTAAACCAAATGTTCTTTCTTGAAGCCAAATAACTTTACACCAAAAACTTAACTGTATGTGGACTAATACCAAACATTTATTATAAATTTTTGACATAAAGGTTTTGACCATACTAATTTAGACTGTCTTTTTTATTAATATCCAGTATTGAAATGTTTAAAAAAAAAAAGTAGGTTGAACTTCTTTTATATTAAGTTCTATTAATATTATAAATGTTATCAAATAGTAGTTACTAATGGGCAGAATAAATACTGCATTACCATAAAAAAAATAAATAAATAAAATAAAATCATGACACTGAAGAGATGAGGGCAGAGTAGCAGACCAAGTCTGAGCCCTGGGTGTCAGCATTAAGAGGTTGGGGAGATTAGGCTGAGGTGGAACCAGAAGGCAGACTGTGAAGGGGTGAGCTATGAGGCTGGAGGAAAGAGCAGGGCCTTGGGGACCAGTAGAAGGAAGCTGCAGCAGGGTGGCAATGAGCATGTGAAAACAGTCCTGTTAGGTCTAGTGAGACAAGCCTGTGACAGGGACACCAGCGACCTATACTTTCTGAGGAGCCATGGAGGTTAAGGCCTGATGGGAGGAGGTTTCTAGCAGAGCAGGTGAGAGGATAGTTTTGTCTTTATTTGTACGAGGTACAGGCTGAAGGATTTAGAGTTTTATGATGTCTTAGTTTCAAACAAAACAAAAAATTATAGATGCATGGATATTTATATAGATATTTATATTTTTATATATAGCAAAAGCACACATTTTGAAATGTTTAAGATTGGTGAATCCAGGTGGTGGGTAAATGAGTGATCAGGGTGTACTACCTTCTCACCTTCTGTATATGTGTTTTCCATTCTTCATAGTGTGAAATGATGGGGAGTATGAGTAGACAGAGAGGAACTGGAAACTGTAGAGACAACTCTGCAAAGGGGACCAAAAATTTGACTGGGAGTGCATATGGGAGAGGGAGGTAACAGTTTTGAGTTTGGTTTGGTTTTTAAGCTGGGGTAAATTATGACAGGTTTGTGATAAAGCAGAGAGTAAGACAGTACATGCTAGTAAAGTAATGCTCAAAGTTTTTCAAGCCAGGCTTCAGCAATACGTGAACCGTGAACTTCCAGGTGTTCAAGCTGGTTTTAGAAAAGTCAGAGGAACCAGAGATCAAATTGCCAACATCCGCTGGATCATCAAAAAAGAAATAGAGTTCCAGAAAAACATCTATTTCTGCTTTATTGACTATGCCAAAGCCTTTGACTGTGTGGATCACAATAAACTGTGGAAAATTCTGAAAGAGATGGGAATACCAGACCACCTGACCTGCCTCTTGAGAAACCTGTATGCAGGTCAGGAAGCAACAGTTAGAACTGGACATGGAACAACAGACTGGTTCCAAATAGGAAAAGGAGTACGTCAAGGCTGTATATTGTCACCCTGCTTATTTAACTTATATGCAGAGTACATCATGAGAAACGCTGGGCTGGAAGAAGCACAAGCTGGAATCAAGATTGCCGGGAGAAATATCAATAACCTCAGATATGCAGATGACACCACCCTTATGGCAGAAAGTGAAGAAGAACTAAAGAGCCTCTTGATGAAAGTGAAAGAGGAGAGTGAAAAAGTTGGCTTAAAGCTCAACATTCAGAAAACTAAGATCATGGCATCTGGTCCCATCACTTCATGGCAAATAGATGGGGAAACAGTGAGAGACTTTATTTTTGGGGGCTCCAAAATCACTGCAGATGGTGATTGCAGCCTTGAAATTAAAAGACACTTACTCCTTGAAAGGAAAGTTATGACCAACCTAGACAGTATGTTAAAAAGCAAAGACAGTACTTTGCCAACAAATGTCCATCTAGTCAAGGCTATGGTTTTTCCAGTAGTCATGTATGGATGTAAGAGTTGGACTATAAAGAAAGCTGAGTGCTGAAGAATTGATGCTTTTGAATTGTGGTGTTGGACAAGACTCTTGAGAGTCCCTTGGACTGCAAGGAGATCCAACCAGTCCATCCTAAGGGAGATCAGTCCTGAGTGTTCATTGGAAGGACTGATGTTGAAGCTGAAACTCCAATACTTTGGCCACCTCATGCAAAGAACTGACTCACTTGAAAAGACCCTGATGCTGGGAAAGATTGAGGGCAGGAGAAGAAGGGGACGACAGAGGATGAGATGGTTGGATGGCATCACCAACTCAATGGACATGAGTTTCGGTAGACTCCGGGAGTTGGTGATGGGCAGGGAGGCCTGGTGTGCTGCAGCTCATGGGGTCACAAAGAGTCAGACATGACTGAGCGACTGAACTGAACTGGACTGAAGACAGCAGAAGAGGAAAAACTAAAAGAATGCAAGAAAGAGAAGGAGGAGTTGCTGGAGTAAACAGGAGGCGGTGGCGGCAGTGTCCAGGTGGCGGAGGAACAGCTGGAGGAGGCACAAGGAGAGACCACGTGCTCCCCCAGGTAGGCAGGGAGCGCATGTGTGCAGTTGCTCCCCGCAGGCTGCAGTGGTGCAAGGCTGTGAAGGGTCTCTTCTACGTGAAGGCAAGGCCATAATCTAGGAGGATGTGTTGAGGATTTGAAGAGGGAGGAGAAGCATGAACTAGCTATCCTGTCCAGAAGAGAGGGAAGGTAAGCAGAGGATGGACTGGTGTTATAAAATCTGGCAGCTCTGTTCAATTGGTTGAATGAAATAATTGGGAAGGGGTCCCTGCTTAAAAAACAACCACCATGCACACAGTCAGAATTCATGATGGGGGTTTATCCATTGTTTCAGCAGCTGCGTCCATCCCAAACAAGGCCAACTGATATCTGTGTTTTCAGCATCTGCCATTGCTGTCCCTGCTCCCGTGGGTAAGGGGAGACCTGTCTGACTTCTCTGGGGCTTGGTCAGTGCTGGGCTGAGACAGTCATTTCTGTTCCTAAAATGCTGACCCACGACCCAGGTGTCAAGGGCCAGAACAGGCAGGTGGAGAGCCAAGTCTAGGAGTCAGGAGACCAGACATGAGTCTTGACTGGCTGGCTCTGAGATTGGAGACATATTATGTACTCTCTCTAAGCTTCTAATCTGGGGGAGCCTTTTACAGAAGCTCTGGGCTCCCTCTGGCCATGCTGTGTCCTGGGCTGGCTAGCAGAGTTAGGAGGGTGCAGCTTTAGCCCCCGCTGTCTGTGCTCCAACCTGGAGAAGCTGCAGCAACCCTTACACAGTCATTGTTGTTGACCTGAATTCGGTAGCGGGAGATGAAGTTAGGCTTTCCAGTCACGTCTGCCACCAGGAGAAGTCCACTGAAGGTCCAGTAGACCAGAAGAGGCACTTGGGTGACCCCTAATGTTAGGAAGCAGAAGGAGAACATCAGGGCTTCAGGAGCTGGCAGGGTGGTGACTAAGTTTGCACTGTGGGCAGGCCCAGGGCCGGGGCCCTGCTTTTAGTCTTCGGGTGACAAGCCTGCTCTGGAAACTGGCATGGGTCACTTAAGGAGTGTCTCTGTTTCTTTTCTTAGCTGTAGTAGGGGGGCAATAGACTTCTAGGTGATTTGAGACAGAACAACAAAACATTATAAGATGTGTGATACATTCCACATAGAATTGACTTTCAGTTGACTTTTGGGTGTCTGCCCACTGAGCCCAAAGAATAGCTGAGGAAGGGAGGAACAGGGGGAGACCAGTTTGGCTCATGGTGGGCACTTAGGGTCCCCCAGTCCTCACGGCCTATGATGCCATGAGCAGAGGGGGCTCAGGTGTCCAGGGGCGTGTCCCAAAGTGGAAAACCCACCTCTGAGGGGCTCCTTGGCTAAACAGTCTTCACACCCTGCCCTCTTAGAGAGCCAGGGTCCAGACGAGTGTGGTAACAACTCTGAGATTTCCTGTTTGACTTTGTTAAACTCAGCCTTTCCCAGGCTTTTTTGTATCCAGTACTGTTTTCCCAGATAGCTCAGAATAGGATGGCCATACGTCCCTGTCTGCCAGGACAGTTTCAATTTACACCTATCATTCCAGCATCATTGTTAATAACCCCTCCTTTACTCTCACACGTGACCCATTTGGATGATACCTTGTATGGTCTCCCCCCAACCTCATTAACCTCCTACAGAAATGCTGTTGTTCTGCAGGATGCTTTAGAAAAATGCCGATCAATACAAATTTAGATAGAGCTCTTGGCTCCGCATCCCACTTTTCCATGAAGTCACCCCAAATATCTCTGATCTCCTCCAGTGAACACATAAGCACTTTGTCCACCCCAAGTGGCAGTTATCCAGGTGACATCACAGTGTTACCTAACTCTTGTGCTGTTAAGTGTATTTTTCCTTGACTTGCTGCCTCCTGTACTTTCAGTATCCCAGGGAGCAAGGGTGTTTTACTCCGTTCCCTGTCTCTTCCTTCCATCCTCCTTGCATAGCCTTCTTGCTCCATCAAGCACCCTGCCTGTGCCAGCTGATGCCTGGGAAGTATTTGGCTAACACAGTGGGGAAATGTGACTGGCATAAAGGTCCTCGCGGCCGTTTGGCCCTTAGGCCTAAGGGGCCATCCATCGAGGTGCCTGCCTACCTGTTCATCCAAGGGTTCCTTGAGGAATACAGAGTGAAAATCGCAAGAGGTATCTTGAGCATTTTTTTCAGCTCTAACTTGTCAAATTGCAAATATTTTTTCTGTCTTGTATTTGCTTATCACTACCTATCACAGATGATAGGTAGTTTCCCCATCATTGTAACAGAAACATAAAATGTTTTCCCACCACTCTCCCCATGTACATTTGCAACTGCATTTTTTTTTTTTTCAGTGAGTCCTTAAGATTCCATTAACCTGTCATGTTTAGTATTCAGCCCATTTTCAGAGTTTTCTTTCGAAGAAAACAGTTGTCAGAAACACGAAATATTTTATTTATCTCTACATTTGCTTTGTGAAACTGATACATTTTTATCTCCCCTTCTAGGCTGTGACATAGTTTTGGCTGAGGTTTGCTTTGTAGTTATTTTCTTCCAGACAGACTGTGACATAATTTGAATGGGGTAGCTAGAGTATGTTAATACTTTATCTTGAATTTCTCTATATCCTACTTATGAGTTTGGCACAAAGTCACTTAATAAGTACTATTTGATTGAATGCATATATAATCGAGGACAGTCACTATTGTAGATAATGCTGTTATAGATATCTATCTTAAAATAGCTTTTTCTTCTACTCTGTTTCCTTAGGACTCTTTAGAGCCAGTGGCACTATCAGTAGATATTTGCTGATTGAACACATATTGTCAGGCCCCAAGAGCTAGGTTGCATCAGGTCCAAGGACATAGCCTCACATGAGACACGGCATCCCTCTGTACTTGTGAACCTGACAGCTAGAAGCTGGAGTACTGCTCTCACATGCTTCCGTTTATACATAAACTTTTATTATTTTTCTATTTTGGTGCGTGTGGGAGATGTCTCAAGTTCGTTTTTTAAAATTTATTTTTGTTTGAAGGATAATTGCTTTACAGTATTGTGCTGTTTTCTGCCAAACATCAACATGGATCAGTCAGAGGCTTACCCATGTTCCCTCCTTCTTAAACCTCCCTCCCACCTCCCTCCCCATCCCACACTTCTTGGTAGTTGCAGAGCTCTGGTTTGGCTTCCCTGAGTAACACAGCAAATTCCCACTGGTATCTATTTTACAAATGGTAACATATGTTTACATGTTACTCACTCCATACGTCCTACCCTCTCCTTCCTGCCCACTTCCATGTGCCAGGTCTGTTCTTTTATGTCTTCGAGTCCTCTACTAACCTGCAAATAATTTATTTCATCAGTACCATCTTTCCGGATTCCATGTATATGCCTTAGTATACAATATTTATTTTTCTCTTTCTGACTTACTTCACTCTGTCTAATAGGCTCTAGGATCATCCACTTCACTAGAACTGACTCAAATGTCTTCTTTTTTATGACTGAGTAATATTCCATTGCATTTATGGATCACACCTTCCCTATCCATTCATCTGTCAATGGATATCTAGATTACTTCCATGTCATAGGCATTGTAAACAGTGCTGCAATGAACATTGGGGTACATGTGTCTTTTAAGTTTTGGTCTCCTCAGGGTATATGCCCAGTAGTGGGATTGCTGGGTTATATGGGTGGTTTTATTCCTAATGTTTTAAGGAATCTTCATACTGTTTCCCATAGTGGCTGTATCAATTTACATTTCTACCAACAGTACAAGAGGGTTCCCTTTTCTCCACACCTTTCCCAGCATTTATTGTTTGTAGATTTTTTTTAAGGTCCATAATTTTTTATTGTTTTATATTTTCATTCATCTTCCCTCTTTATTGAATTTTGATCATCTTTTTTTTTTTTATGATGATAGTCATTCTGACCAGTGTGAGGTGATATCTCATTGTAGTTTTGATTTGCATTTCCCTAATAATAAGCAATGTTGAGCATCTTTTCCTGTGTTTATTAGCCATCTGCATGTTTCTTTTTTGGAGAAATGTCTGTTTAAGTCTTTTCCCCACTTTTTGATTGGATTGTTTGTCTTTCTGGTATTGACTTGTATGAGCTGCCTGTATATTTTGGAAATTAATCTTTTGTCAGTTGTTTCATTTGCTGTTATTTTCTCCCATTCTGAGGGTTGTCTTTTCACCTTGTTTATAGTTTCCTTTGCTATGCAAAAGCTTTTAAATTTAATTAGGTCCCACTTGTTTATTTTTGTTTTTATTTCCATTACTCTAGGAGGTGGGTCATAGAGGATTTTGCTGTGATTTATGTCATAGAGTGTTCTGCCTATGTTTTCCTCTAAGAGTTTTATAGTTTCTGGACTTACATTTAGGTCTTTAATCCATTTTTAGTTTATCTTTGTGTATGGTGTCATTCTTTTACACATAGCTGTCCAGTTTTTCCAGCAGCATTTATTGAAGAGACTATCTTTGCCCCATTGTATATTCTTGCCTCCTTTGTCAAAAATAAGGTACCTGTAGGTGCATGGGTTTATTTCTGGGTATATTTATTTCATGGATATATTTATTTATATCCTGTTCCATTGGTCTATATTTCTGTTTTTGTGCCAGTACCATACTATGTTGATGATTGTAGTTTTGTAGTATAATCTGAAGTCAGGAAGGTTGATTCCACCAGCTCCATTCTTCTTTTTCAAAATTGGTTATTTTCAAAATTTGGTTATTCAGGGTCTTTTATGTTTCCATATGAATTGTGAAATTTTTTTATTCTAGTTCTGTGAAAAATGACATTGGTAATTTGATAGGGATCACATAGAATCTGTAAATTACATTTGGTAATATAGTCATTTTCACAATATTGATTCTTCCTACCCAGGAACATGGAATATCTCTCCATATGTTTATATTGTCTTTGATTTCTTTCATCAATATCTTATAGTTTTCTGAATACAGCTCTTTTGTCTTCTTGTGTGGGGCTTCCCTGGTGGCTCAGAAGGTAAAGAATCTGCCTGCAAAGCAGGAGATCTGGATTCAGTCCCTGGGGTAGGAAGATCCCCTGGAGAAGGAAATGGCAACCCACTCCAGTAATGCCTGGAGAATTCCACGGACAGAGGAGCCTGGCAGGCTACAGTCCATGGGATCACAAAAAGTCGGACATGACTGAATGACTTAGGTAGGTTGATTCCTAGGTATTTTTTTATTCTTTTTGTGGCAGTGTGAATGGGATTGAGTCCTTAATTTCTCTTTCTGATTTTTCATTGTTAGTGTATAGTCATGCAAGAGATTTCTGTGTATTGATTTTTATATCCTACAACTTGGCTAAATTCACTGATTAGCTCTAAGTAATTTTCTGATAGTATCTTTAGGGTTTTCTGTGTATAGCCAGTAATTTTCTGATAGTATCTTTAGGGTTTTCTGTGTATAGCATCATGTCATCTGCAAACAATGAGTTTTACTTCTTTTCCAATCTGGATTCATTTTAGTTCTTTTTAGTGCTTTTAAAATTCCTTTTCTTTCTTTTTCCTTTCTGTTTGACATAGTTAGGGGGATGTCTCAAGTTCTTTTTTCTCAAGTTCCTTAAACATCCATTCAAGATTGCCCACAGATTTAGTATTCTTTGGGGTTACCACTGTCTTTCGGTCCTCATTCCTTAGAGTAATAAGCTGAGAAGTCTCAGAGTAGAGAACAAAACAAACAGAATTAAGCTATAACCCATACCCAAACCCTAAGGGCTGGTGTCTGGGAATCTTACCTAGAATGTAGAGCAGCCACTCTTTCCCTTCAAATGTAAACAGCAGCATCTCCCACTGGGCTTGCCAAAAGTAGCTGGAAACACCCCAAAGTCTCTGAAGATGCCTTGAAAGAAAACTCATTCATGTTTCTGAGTGAAGACTGGTGGGTGGACGGCTCCTAAACCCAAGCTCTGCCCGCGGACCTCCACCACAAGGCCCCCAGATCCTGAATTAGAGCTGTCCGAGCAGACTCGCCCTGTGACGCAGTTCCAGTGGGCCATCAGCAAGAGAAGGCCGGAGCCCAGGATGAAAGCCCTCCTCCTCATGGAGCCCCAGATGTGTCCCTCCTAGGGGAGGACAAGAAAATGTCAGGCCCCAACCAGACTCCTGCCTTCCCAGGCGGCTCACTGCTGAAACCTGGCAGGGGTGATGGGCCATCAGGTTCTGTCATGCCAGCATGGCACATCTGCTGACCTTCCCCAGCTTCCACAGGAGGCTCTTCCTTGTCAAGAGCTCTCAGGCTTGTGCGGAGGTGAGCATGAAAGTTAGAGCTTAAGGGTGGGGGGAAGGAAGAGCGCACACCTGCCCCAGAGAATCTAGCAGGCAGTGTTGTCACCTAGATAATGACAGAGGAGCCTTCCAAGAGCCATGGGATTTCATGACCAGTCCTCTTGTTGAACAGAGATGCAGATTTTCTATACATGGCAATCACTTGGGAGCTTCTAAAAAATTCCAATATGCAGGCTTCTTCCCAGCTCAGTTACATAAGAGTTTCTGGGGTGGAGCATGGGCTCCCCTGTTTTTAAAGCTCCCCATTGAAATCCAGTGAGCAGCAAGGCTGGGACAGCCATCACAGAGGGATTAGAAGGATCTTTGATGAGGCCGTGGGGACTTCACTGTGTTCCCCAGCCAGGGAACTGGCTGGGGAACTGCTTTCCAGTGCCCATCACTCTTTTGCCCTTGAAGAAAAGAGTAAACAAACACATTTTCTGACTTGTAATAAGTCCTCTGCCTCCCATAGACATAAGCCTGGGCTGCCAGCCTATGTCTGAGGCTGATGAGAGGCTCCCTGGGCAAAGAATAGGCACTGGCCATCACTGGGTGGTCCTGACATGTTCTGCAGAAGCCTAAAACATCAAAGGTAGCAACCCTGATGGTAAAATAAGAAGGTCCAATCTTATAGAAGGAAATCCCTGGTGTGTCACCAATTTCCATAGTAAGTACCTTGCACGGGGCTGACAAATGTCCATTACAGTTTATGTTTATAAGCCTGGATGGAGTCTGCTCATATTCCTTCAAGGGAGAGAACGAGAAGTGGTGGTCCCTAAAGGTGTGCAGTTAGTGAACCCGACCACAAACACCCTTGTACAGGAAACTGATCTAATAGGATGCCATGTCTTAACCCAGACTTTGGAGATTTGGAGGAGTGGGTTTTTGTTTTTTTTTTTAATACTTGCTGCATTGTGGAATGCAGAAACTTTCAGTTGTGGCATGTGACCTCTTAGTTGTGGCATGTGACCTCTTAGTTGAAACACGTGGGATCTAGTTCTCGGACCAGGGAAGGAACCTGGGCCCCCTGTATTGGAAGTGTAGAGTCTTGGCCAGCTGGACCACCAGGGAAGTCCCCTAGTAGACTGTTTTGATGGACTCATTCAGAGCAACCTGAATCTGCACTGACTCTTCTTCTCTGATTACCGCTTTCCACTTTCAATCAGAAGAAGTTTGTAAGTTATTTTCTAGGGCTAGTGAAATGTTTTCAAACACCTACTACTCTTCAGGGTCCTGAGTTATGAAAAATGACCTCCTTTTCTTCTTTCTTTCTCACTCTCTCTCTCTCTTTCTCTGTCTCTGCCATTGTGGATTGGATCACCAGGACCACAGAAACTTGTTCTTTTTTTTTTCCTTCTTCCCCCACTCCAAAACTCATTCTTTTACATAGGCTGTTTAAAGATCACCCCCAAACTTGCCAGTCAGTTCATCTTGGGCTTTTGCAATTACTCCATTTTTAGGATTCAAAGGACCCTTTTCATGAGCTTTTCCAGATGGCCTAAGAATCTTCCCTTTGAGTTCTATCAAAGCAAGTGTAGTCAAATTTAAAACCTCGTTTTCATGTATAAGACTAGATGCGTTTTCATGGATCATGGTGTTTTCTGTCTCCTGCAACCCAAAGTGCTAGGAACACATACAGGACAAAGGTCTCTGTGAAGGGCAGGTGCATACAGATCGGACATTATTGGAGTCTGCTGCAGCTTGTTCCCCACCCCAATTCACAGCCCCAGACCAGAGTGGACCTCTCTTGTCCCCAGAGCTGATGTAGTGGTGGTTCCAAAGGCCTGAGCCTGGGGCATTCTAAGGGTCAGGAGACCTTGCTGGGACAGCTGTGGGGCTCTTCAGTGCCCTACATGCAGGCAAAGGGGCTTGAGTGATAATGAGGCAGCTTGGAGTCAAGTGATTCTGCTCAGCTACTGAGGGGATCAATTCACTAACATGTCAGCTACCCCAGCACCCTGTGAGGCTGTCAGTTATGCTGCAAGCACAGACATGGGAGAGAGCACTGGCTGCCTGCTCACCACTTTGATGGGTTAAAGTGAAGTGAAGCCACTTAGTTGTGTCTGACTCTTTGCGACCCATGGACTGTAGCCTCCTGGGCTCCTGTCCATGGATTTCTCCAGGCAAGAATACTGGAGTAGGTAGCCATTCCCATCTCCAAGGGATCTACCTGACCCAGGGATTGAACGTGGGTCTCTTGCATTGCAGGCAGATTCTTTACCATCTGAACATTCAGGGAAGTTGAGTTTGGTGGGTAGGGTACTCATATTTACCTGGTCTGGATTCTCATTGTGTAGCATATGTCCAGCTTCTCCTTTCATCTGGAATAAGAAAGTACAGGTGAGCCTAGGTGTCATTTTCACATGCAACCAGCTAAGTAGGTAATAGAGAATGTCAAAGTGAATGGCCAGCAGTGATTTTTTAATGCTGGCTACTCATTAGAATCACACAAGAGTTACACAAACTAAAAAAAAAAAAAACAAAAAAAAAACCAAAAAAACCCACCAAAAACTCCCCTGGAATGAGACAAACTGATTCTAAAATTTACATGGGGATCCTTAAGTGCCAAGTCAATTGGGCCTTAGGAAGCATCACTACAAACAAAGCTAGTGAACTATTTCAAATCCTAAAAGATGCTGCTATTAAAGTGCTACACTCAATATGCCAGCAAGGTTGGAAAATCAGTAGTGGCCACAGGACTGGAAGAGATCAGTTTTCATTCCAATCCCAAAGAAAGGCAATGCCAAGGAATGCTCAAACTACCTCACAATTGCACTCATCTCACATGCTAGCAAAGTAATGCTCAAAATACTCCAAGCTAGGCTTCAACAGTACATGAACCGAGAACTTCCAGATGTTCAACTTGGATTTAGAAAAGGCAAAGGAATCAGAGATCAAATCGCCAAACATCCATTGGATCATAGGACAAGCAAGAGATTATAGAAAACTACCTACTTCTGCTTCATTGACTATGCTAAAGCCTTTGACTACGTGGATCACAACTGTGGAAAATTCTTAAAGAGACGGGAATACCAGAACACCTTACCTGTTTCCTGAGAAATCTGTATGCAGGTCAGGAAGCAACAGTTAGAACTAGACATAGAACAACAGACAGGTTCCAAATTGGGAAAGGAGGACTTCAAGGCTGTATATTGTCACCCTGCTTATTAAGACTCTTTTGAGAGTCCCTTGGACTGCAAGGAGATCAAACCAGTCAATCCTAAAGGAAATCAACCCTGAATATTCATTGAAAAGACTGATGCTGAAGAAGAAGCTCCAATACTTTGGCCACCTGATGCAAAGAACTGGCTCATTAGAAAAGACCCTGATCGAAAGATTGAAGGGAAGGATTGAAGGCAGGAGGAGACAGGGATGACAGAGGATGAGATGGTTGGATGGCATCATCGACTTGATGGACATGAGTTTGAGCAAGCTCCAGGATTGGTGATGGACAGGGAAGCCTGGTGTGCTGCAGTCTGTGGGGTCGTAAAGAGTCAGACACAACGGAGTGACTGAACTGAACTGAAGGTACTATAATCATTACATTTTTATTGTGCTTCCTGTCTTTTTCTCTACCTTTTAAAGTCTCCCATTTAAGAACTACCAGTTGTCTTTAGTTCAACTTTTCTTTTTTTCTTTTTTTAATTTGGCTGTGCAGGCTCTTATTTTTCGCATGTAGGATCTTTAGTTGTGACACCCAGGCTCTATTCCCTGATGAAGGATGTAACCCAGGCCCCCCACATCATAAGCATGGAGTCTTAACCACTGGACCACCATGAAAGTCCCAATCTCATCTATTCTGTTGCCCTCATTTTCCATTTGAAGAAATGGAGGCATAGAAATTTTCATTACTCAGCTTCAGATTACAGTTATTTAGTGGCAGAATTTGAACTCAGTGCTTATTATACTGATTGTGCAGACAGTGTATAGAATGTGCTGAAGTTGGTGAATGCAGGGTGGCATTCAGGTGGTACAGGGACAAAAAGGAATAAGATCAGCCTCTATTAGCTGCAAATAATGGATTAGATATTGTGTGTGCATGCTTTCTTTTTTAATACCAAAATTAAAATAGGGCATGGTTTTTCTGTGATATTAATCATTATTTTGAGAAACATTTATTGTGTGCCAGATACAATGTTAGCCACAGAGGATACAAAGATGAATAAGACATGCTTCTTGGCCCTATTTAATAACATAATACTATATAACTTTGATTTTCCACATGAGAAAATATGTAGGGGGAGGATAGGAAATGGCATTTATGATAGGACTACATTCAGAGAAAGAAACTATATGCACTAAAAGTAAATATTCTGAATTGACTTTCCCTTAAAGGGATTTCGATAGGTATTATAAGATTATCCAAATTACATGCTTTTTTAGTGTTGTTCTTTTAAAAGTAGATGATTCTGACTATGCCAGTTTTTTATTGCAGCATCCTGAATCTAGATAAATGACAGAGTGAAGCTATAGTGGATGTTCACAGCCTTGAAAATTTGAAGACAGGGCAGGGGAACGGGATGAAGGTTGGAGAAACAGACAGTTTTGTCTGCAGCCTGGTTCTTTCAGATTCTAGGTTCCTGGATATTCTACATGGTTGATGAAGTTTCCCATTTGATAGGTAAAAGATCAGTTCAGTTCAGTTCAGTTGCTCAGTTGTGTCCGACTCTTTGCAACCCCATGGACTGCAGCACACCAGGCCTCCCTGTCCATCACCAACTCCTGGAGTTTATCCAAACTCATGTCCATCGAGTCGGTGATGCCATCCAACCATATCATCCTCTGTCGTCCCCTTCTCCTCCTGTCTTCAATCTTTCTCAGCATCAGGGTCTTTTCCAATGAGTCAGCTCTTTGCATGAGGTGGCCAAAGTATTGGAGTTTCAGCTTCAACATCAGTCCTTCCAATGAACACTCAGGACTGATCTCCCTTAGGATGGACTGGCTGGATCTCCTTGCAGTCCAGGGGACTCAAGAGTGTTTTATGTGAATGTACAAGGTTTCTTTGTAAATATCTTGTGAAATTACTTGGGAAAAAAAATTATTAGGGAAATGGAACACCTGATAGACCATCTGGTCTACCCCTTTCCTTTTTATGTAAAGAGATAGGCTTAGATAGCAAAACTCACTTGTTCCAAACTCCACACAGTGTCTGACAAAATCCAGGCTTTCTAACACTTTGCCTGGTGTTACAAGTGGTTTCAGAATAACATAAATTTTATTTCGTGAGGGAGAGGGCTACTGCCTCTTGAGGACTGAAACTGCCATCACTTCAGCCTCTGTCCTCAGGCTGTTTGTAGTCTTGGGAAAAGCTGAGCAGTCTGCCTGCAGCTTAAAGCTTCTGATAAAGAGGGTTTCGAGAAGGTAGTATGACAAGGTCTCATGTAAGTGAAACTCTTATAGAGGGAAAAGATATTCATTCAAGAAGGTAAAATGCTTAAAGGAAAAGTTTAAACTCAGACAAAAATGACCCCCTTTGGACAGTTTTAGCAATGCTCTCTTCACTGCTTTTGCTGTGGATACTTCTACCCCTTCAGATTTACTGCCCCACTTGACCGCGTGGCCGGCAGGCTGAAAGCATGCCTGTTTGTTTACTCTGAGATCCACAGCACCAAACACAAGCCTAGCATACTCAGGAAGTATTTGTTGAATAAACAAAAGAAGGGAAAAAGATTTTTTTTTGCCCTCAGAATGTGTCTAACATTTGCTGTCAAACATTTCAGCACCTTTTCCTACACTATACACTTTCCTTTTTAAGGTCAGAAGCTAATGCTCAGAGCATTTGTTTCTGCCAAATTGAATGGACTCTTTATATCCCAGCTAGAGAAATTTAGTTGGAATGTCTATGAAACTGAAGCAACTTACAAGTCTCTATCTTGTCTTGCTTGCCTTACACCTCAAAGGATCCATATGAGCACTCTGAAAACCAGTGGCCCACTGTTCACCCCCATCTATACACACTATTCTCTCCCTTGGTAACCTCTGGGAATCCATCCTGGGGTACTGCCAGGACATCCACAAATCTAGACATGGAATAGCTGTTGATAAATCCCAGTATGTTGCTTGAAAACAGCTTGGATGTGGTTGTCCAGCTCCTAGCCCACACACCTACCTTGCGCCTTTGCGATTTTGTTGTAATTGGCCCCGTCCCTTCCAGGTGGCCCTACCAATTTACAGAGAGGCAATTCAACCACAGTTGCTTCCTGGCAGTCTTTTACAGTCAGATTTTCGAATTCTAACTTGGGGTTTTCTCCTTCACATGGTTTTGAAGCCAAACCCAATCCATTTGACAGAATTATCTGTCAGTTGCTAGAAAAAAGGGGCTGCACAGAGGAGGGAGATGGTGAAAACACAGGCAGAGGATGTAGACATTAGCAAGGAGAGGACTCTGTGTCCTAAGAAAACATCCCACTACATTTCTCAGAGGCCGATCTCACCTGCACTGTAAGTGGACAAGACAGAGAGGTGCAGAGGTGAGAAGGGGATGCTTGGCCTTTCTTTAAATGAACTTGGATGCATCCTAATCTTGGTGACGAGCTTCCCTGCCCAGCTCCCACTCACCTCTGCAGCGGGCTGTCTCCCAGTTCCTCCACGTCCCAGCACAGCTCAAGCCAGCTCTCTCTTCCCTCAGCCCCCAGTGGGCAGCTGCTGCCTTCTCACCCTGCTAGTCCTCTGGTGGGCTGGGAGGATGGCCAAGCCGACTGGCTGGCTCAGGCCAGGCACGTGAACGTAATGGGAAAAAGAATTTGGGTCTATTTTGATGAGAGACAAAAACGCCCTTCTTGCCAAAGGACATCTGAAAACCAAGAGGGAAATACTCAGTTCAGGCCATGGCTTGGAAAAGCACATTTGGCTGAGCTCTAAGCTTTTGTCTTTTTTTCTTTTTACAAACTCCTTACATCTTCCTCAACTTAAGAAAATGTTGCTGTCCTATAGGAGGCAGTTTCGATAAGAGTCGTGGGATAATGTCAACGAAGAAGATGGGCTGTCCAAGTGTATAAAAAGCTTCCCTGGACCACAAGGTCTCCTTGTCTCACTTTTGATCGCTTCTGTTGCTGCTGAGGGCAGCCAAGGGAGCAGAGATGGAGCAATTACTGCTGTTGAGTCTAGATGCAGAAAAGGAACCCCTCCCTGGAGAGGTGAGGTTTTTACACTTTGAAACAGGTGAAATTAGAATACAGCATGACCTGTGATGTGAAAAGGTGAGATTTTTGAAAAAGAATTGAATTTTTATTTTTAAGTTTCTGAAAATTATTTTTGATTAGGCAGCATGTATATCTGATATAAAAAACAGAAGGGTCAAAAGAGTGTACAGTGAAAAGCAAGTCTTTTTTCATCCTTCCCAGTCCTCTACTTCTCCCAAGAGGCAACCCCTAGAACTAATGTTTTTGTATTTCCATCCAGAGCTTGTCTCTGTAAATACTAACATATATGTCTCCCCTTCTTAGGAACAGCTCGCCATATATACTTGTTATGCTCCTTGCTTTTTCACTTAGATGCACATGCAGAAATTGTTCCATTTAGTACCTTTAAGAGCTACCATGTTCTTCTTAAGGTTGCACGCTGTCCCTTTGTCTAGATGTGTCATACCTTATCTGGCCAATTAAAAGACCACATCTTAGTCATCTTTCCCTAATTCCCCGTACAACACAAAGCTCAGTAAACATTCAATGCTTCTTCAGAAAATACATCTTGTACAACTTGTTCATGTTTTTTTTTTTATCATTGCTCTTTTTAGAGGTACCAGTATTTGTTCAATAATCCAGATACTTGTGTAATGTATATATTCCTGGCCATTCAAGTCTGTCTTTTGCACTGATCAAACCTTACTTCCAAGGTCTGCCTTATCTCGCTCCTTTAATGTTATTCCTCACTATGTCCTATTTTCCTATGCTCTAAGAATTACTGCCATGTGCAAATATTTATTGATCACTATATGCAGAAATTTTTTTTTTCTATTTTAAAGAGGCAGAGTAGTGGTCAAGACAAGGAAGGAAATTCTGGTTGGGAGGATTAGTACAAGTAATTATGTGGAGGTAGGAATGTCAGAAAATAGGAGCTTTATATATCTTCGTGACACTAATAACTTCGGCACATAGTAAGTTTGCAGTAGAGTTTGCATGAATGAGACACTCTTCTCTGATCCTCTGGTTTTTTTCTCCATTCTGTCTTTGAGGATTTGCTTAGCTTTCTTGTTAATTCAAGGTTGTATAAGATGGTCCCTTCCTTGGCTGATCTCCTTTAAAGGGAAGACAGATTCTGAGATCTTGAAAGAAGGTAGATTTGGTCTCAAATTGAACACTGTCATTCACCAGTTTTGTGACCTCGGCCTCTCTGGGTCTCAATTTCCTCATTTATAAAATGAATGAGTTTGATAAGAGTATTTTGGAGGCCCCTTCCAGATCTAATGGAAATTAGATTTTTATAACTATGTTTACCAATTTTTCTGGAATATATCCCTCATCCCAAACTCCAAATAAATACATCTGGTTAAAATCTTCAGAGATATTCTGAAGCCTTGGGGTCCCATTGCTCCTGCATTATTCTGCATTACAGAATAATGCAGAAGTTCAAAAAAGATTCTCAATGCTGGTCATATAACAAAAAAATTACAGGGATTTTTGAAATCTAGTTGTAAAACTAAAGGTGAGTTTGTTACATTCATGAACAGGGAGAAGAAGAGACAGCAAGAGAATTAGTAATAACAGAAAGGCTTGGCTGGCTAAGGAAATCACCCTGTCTTGTTCTTAAGGAGAACTGATTTTACAACCAATGTTCCTCAGTTTTTTTAAAACCTATATACTCTCCCAGCTCAGAAGATGTTTAAGTCTTACTTACTGTAATGACCATTCATAATGTGTGCCATTCAAAAGCAAGTTTTTTTTTTTTTTCCAAATGTGATATTATTGAATATATTCTTCTCCTCTTACTCATCTGGGACTTCCCTCCCATCAAGAATCTATGATTTACACAGTTGTTCTAATTTTGCAATAAGCAAGTGCAGCATAAAATCCATTGTTTGCAACAAACACTCCAAGGTCTTCGGAAATACAAGCCATCAGGGTGTTCGTTCTACACTTCACTTGTGTAACCTGAGAAATGAACAGTCAGTTTTGGGTTTGGGGGTGTTGGAGAGGGGAGAAGATGGGGTATGTTTCCTACTTGATTGTTTCAGTGCACACCAGGCCCAGTGCTGTGGGGAGAATACAAGCTGTTCTTCCTGTGACTAGCTCTTGATAGAGCTACCCTGTACTGAATGTAATGACAGAGTAGATAAGAGGATATTAGAAACTCACAGGACAGGGAGAAGGGAGTGTCTTGTCTGCCTTCTCCATCACAGTATTGCTGAATGGAATGATTGTTAAGCCTGCAGCAGTGCTAACAAATACTGAATATTTCAAGGATAACAGAGACAGGCCAGAAACAATGCTTTATTGAATACACTTCTATATCTTGTACAGCGTTTTTCCATTTATTAACACAAACATCTTGTGAGATGATTTTTCATAACCCTCTTAAGGATAAGGAGACAGATACTGCTTCAGAGATGGAAAGGGAAGGAGTGTGCAGAAAGTGCATTTTTAATGGGATGAACGTTCACATCACTGGGGTTGAATTTGCTATCCCTGAGATGATTTTTCATAACCCTCTTAAGGATAAGGAGACAGATACTCCTTCAGAGATGGAAAGGGAAGGAGTGTGCAGAAAGTGCATTTTTAATGGGATGAACGTTCACATCACTGGGGTTGAATTTGCTATCCACTTACCAACAGCTCCTTCAAGGGAAGGAGCTTCAAGGAGGATGACTCTCTATGCTCTGGGGAGCCCGCACGTTCTCACAGGGACGGGGTGGAGGTTTTGCGTGAGTGACTGTGAGGGCTGCTTGGAATTTATAACTGTTCAGGAAGTCAGTGTTCTGCGTTCTCTCCCACCATCGGAGAACAGGCAGCCTTGCATCCGAGCTCGGCCAAGCTGCCAAGAACAGGAGTTGGCAAAGAGCTCTCTTTCCAAACAAGATTCACGGATAATAAGAGGGCAGGTGCGGGCTTTGAAGGAACCTAAGCTAGGCCTGGGCCTCACTGCTCTTACAGCGAAGATCTGGCGAGTTCGCTTAGCATCCGCCACGTCTCGGAGCTTCTCGGAAAGCGGGAGGGCACCACCAGCATTCGCCCTGTGCCTCCTCAACCAAGGCCGCGTCTTCTTTGTGACTCGAACAGACCCGAGGGCTAGTTGCTATAGTAGCGGCGCTGGCTCGGCTCCCTGAGCCCGGGAGGTGGGGAGCGGGCCTTGGTGGATGTCCCCTAGACTTTATTTGGGGTTGCTGCCCCACTCCCAACCAATTGTTTGTCAGAAAGGAAGTCGTAAGGTAGATGTCTTGTGACTGAAGTGTCCAGAGGGCCGCATTAGTATAGTAGAAAGGGGTCAGGACAAACCCCCATCGGCCGCCCCCCCCCTGCCCCCAGCAAACCTCCCTAAAAGTCTGCTGCCGCCGGTTTTAATGGTCCTTCAGAGAAGGGAGAAAGAACCCAGACGTCGTAATTGTGAAGACTGAGTCAGACAGACCAAGCCCTTCCCTCGGCCTTTAGTCTAGCTAGGCCACGCCCACCACCGGGGGGAGGCTAGCCTTAGACCACGCCCCTTCTCTTGAGCGCGCGCGGAAGGCGAACCGAAAGGGAGGAGCAGCAGTGTTGATGAAATGAACCAGTGCAGCTAACCGCGCGAAGGCCGGCGGGGCCTGTATTCCGCGTGCGTCGTTCGAGGTCGCCCCGCCCCGCCGTTTTCGCGCCCGCGCGGCGCTCCCGCGAGGCCACAGGTTGGACGAACAAACACTGGATCGCCGGGGCGCGCAGAAGGGGAGGGGCAGGCGGAGTCAGGCGCGCGCGCGCCAGGAGGGACGCGAAAGGAGCAGGCGAGTCGGGCGGATCGGATGGATAGAGCGGTACAGCCAGGTTGTTTGGAGGCAGTGCGTAAGGCCGCTCTGGGCCCGAGGGCGCCCATCTCACTGGGCCGCTCGGTTCTAGGACCCGATCCGGGGCAGGGGGAGGAGAACACCGGGTCAAGGGCCACCGTAACCGCTCCCGGGAAGTCCTCCCGCCAGCCCGTCTGCCCGCGCTTTGCGGGCTCTGCCTGTCAGGGTAAGCGGGTCCAGGCTTATCAGGGAGGAGCGAGAGATGAGAGAGTGTGGGACGCCATCAGGGGCCTGCGGGAGTAAAGGGAGTGGGAGCGTGCGTGAGGGAGAGGGTATGAGAAGAGAAAGAGGCCCATCAAATAGTAGTCATAATAATCACCACTAGCACACGACAGTAATATTGAAGTGCTATGTACCGGAGCTTGAAGAGCACCTCATGTGCTTCATTCTGTTAACCCCTACTGCAGCCCTCCGAGATGTATGCCATCATTAAACCCATTTTAAAAGAAGGGAAAACTGAGGCAGGAGAGAGGTTAAGTAACTTAGGCAAAGCCCCATAGCTCCTTCGCGTCCTCGCTTCGAACTTAGGTCTCTCTGGCCCTAAGGGGTGTAATTTAAATACCTTTGTTTTACAAAAAAAAAAAAGAAGTGGGGTTAGGAGGAGGAGAGGGGTGAGGGTGGTTTGCAGTGGGAGGGTGATCCAGAACAGGCGAGAAGGATGAAGGAAGAAGGTGTAAGGCAGGGGACCTGAGTTTGGAACCTCGCGCGCCTCCCCCTTCTTGGTTCTTGCGGCCTCACAACTTTTCCTTGCTGTTCGGTGACTTTCTGAACCAGAGCTCTTGGCTCTGGAGGAGCCAGCTCACAGGTCCGGGCCACAAGGGTGGTTTTAAAACTGGTTGAACTGCGGTTCGGTCCAGGGTGGTGTCTTGGGAACTTGCATGCAACCAGAATTATCATTAAAAATTCCTTAGGAAAGTGCAGAATTGGAAATGGCCATTGTGTTTCTCAGAAAATCTAGCACAGTTGTTTCGCCTTCATTTTTTAAAAAAAGATTATTTAGTTTTGGCTCTGCTGGATCTTCGTTGCTGTGGAGGCTTTTTCTCTAGTTGCAGAGATTGGGGGCTACTCTCTAGTTGCGGTGTGTGGGTTTCTCATTGTGGTGGCTTCTCTTGTTGCGGAGCACAGGCTCTAGGCAAGCGGGCTTCAGTAGTTGGGGCACACAGTCTTAGTTGCTCCGCAGCACGGGGGATCTTCCTGACCCAGGGATCAAACCTGTGTCCCCTGCATTGGCAGATGGAGTCTTAACACTGCTCCACTAGAGAAGTCTTCTCCTTCAGTTTTGAAACTTACTATGGTTTCTTTGGTTGTAATCCAGGTATAGTAATTAGGTTACCTTTAGGGGCTGTGTTGAACAGATACACACGGTTGAATGGCATAGAGTCATTCTGCACTATGAGGCGCCCTGTACTGTGCTGTGTTGGCACTGAGAGGCTTAGGAAGAAGACTAATGACCACGGGGAAAAGTATGTTTATTGATCCCCATTTTAGGCTCATACTGGAGCTTGTGCTCACTGAGTGCAAAGTGGCAGGCAGAATTGTTAGCTTTATTTATTTTTATCATCATTATTTCTGTCGTTTTCGGCTAACACTAGTAATACGCTAAACTAAATGTGTGTAATGTTCCTTTTCAGTTTTTGAGTGGCACTACATTTTGCTGCTTCTGAGCTATTGTTTGTTTTTGCATAGTTTTCCTAGATAAGGGTTTGGTGGAAGCATGTGTTAAATATTTTGCCAGTGGTCTGGTTTTGACTTCCTTGTTTGTCAGTACTATAACAATGATTATACATACTTCCCAGCTGGCTCAGTGGTAAAAAAAATCTGCCTACCAGTGCAGGAGATGCAGGAAACTTGGGTTCAATCTCTGGGTCGGGAAGATCCCCTGGAGAAGGGAATGGTAACCCACTCCATTATTCTTGCCTGGAAAATCTCATGGATAGAGGAGCCTCGTGGGCTACAGTCCGTGGAGTCGAAAAGAGTCAGATATGACTGAGCATACCTACACACATACAACAACGGTTAGCTTTTAAAAAGAAGTAAAAAAAAATTTATTGTAGTTGATGTACAAAATTATATGTTACAGATGTACAACAGTGATTCACAATTTTTAAGTGTTGTACTCCATTTATAGTTATTATAAAATACTGGCTATATATATTCCTTGTGTACAGTATATTGTTACAGTTTATTTTATACATAATAGTTTGTACTCTTAATCCCCAATCGCTATATTATAAAAAGAATTTTCTTGGAAATGGAAGTCATGATGCTACCTTTTAAATTAATGTCTTTGAGTTTCAGTTTTCTTGTCTGTAAAATACAGAGAAAGATTACTTTTGTTTAGTTGCTCTGTCATCTCCAACTCTTGGCAACCCCATGGACTGTAGCCCTCCAGGCTCCTCTGTCCTTGGGATTTACAGGGCAAGAATATGATAAGTAGGTTGCTGTTTCCTTCACAGGGGTATATTCCTGACCCAGGGATTAACCGGAGTCTCCTGAATTGGTGGGTGGCTCTTTACCACTGAGCCAGCAGGGAAGCCTGTAGAGAATGATAGTACTGTAAAAGTTGTTGTGAGTTTTCTTCACTGTTATTTTGAAGCAAATCCCACATCTTATGTCCAGTCACTTACAACTATTTTGCGTTATCCGTAAAAGGTGAGAACTTAAAAAAAAACCCAAAAACTATTAACTGCTATGTAACACCAAAAAAAAAAAAAAGGAAGGGGGAGTAAAGAAAACCTTGAAACCAAAAAAATCAGACATTTTTCAGACTTCTACTTGTCTCAAAAATGTTAGAATTTTTTTTCTTATGAGTTGTTTAGAGCAGAGTTTATCTAAGGTCTGTATGTTTTGATTGATTGATAGGTATCCTGAGAGTCTTTTACCTTTATTTCTTGTAATTTATTTGTTGAAGAAGCTGGATTCTCTAGTTTCCTATAGAAGTTTCTGGATTTTGTTGCTTGAGTTTCTCTGGTGTCAGTTAACGTGTTCCTGTGTCCTTATTTTCTGTATATTAGTAGTTAAATATAGAGACTTGGTCAGATTCAAGTTAAATTTTTTTTGCAAGACAACTTCATTGTGGTGATGTGTTTTGTTTTTGAGACACATAATACCTGGTGGTCACTTTTTGTGATGATTACAGCCATAGTGGTTATTTTAACATCTTTATTGAGATGTGATTTACATACTATAAAAACACCTATTTCATGTAAAATTCAGTGAGTTTTCTTTAGTAAGTTTTTTGAGTTGTGCAATAATCATTGTTATGGAGTTCGGGAACATTTCTGTCTCCTCAGTAAGATAAACCTCATTCCCATTTATATAATGGGAATTCTACTGTGTAATAGTAGAATTATATAATTATATTAGGGAATTACATAATTCCCATTCTACCGTGTAATCTTTTCTGTCTTGATAGATTTTTTTTTTTTTTTTTGCCTTTTCTGGATATTCCATATAAATGCCAGATGTTTAAATTCATTAGGAGTTACAAAACAGTGATAGTCTATTACTCCATATTTATTTTTAGCTATACAACCTGTGAAGAGAAACTTTCCTTCAACTATTTGATTTTTTTGGGGTTATAGTTTATATAGGAAAGACAGGATACATATTTTAAAAAATAAGTCCATTCACTCTCATTCTCTAATGGTGCCCAATTAAATGTATTTTCTTAGCTCATTATGAACTCTTAAAAGATTTTTATGTGTTTATTTATTCATTTAGTCTTGGCTGTGCTGAGTTTTCATTGTTTGGACTTTTCTCTAGTTCCAGCAAGCCGGGGCTACTCTCTAGTTGTGGTGTGAGGGTTTCTCACTGTGGTGCCTTCTTTTGTTGCGGAGATGGGCTCTAGGGCACA